GATAGAGAAACTGAATATAACAACGAATGGCTTTATCAAGACGAAGACGAAGACGAAGAAGGAGCAACAGAAAACGGAGAAGAGTATCAAATTGATGATGAACCTGTAATGACACAGGTTACAACGCATGGTAGCGTTTTGAATGATGTTCTAAAACAGATTGAACTTTTAGTAAGTCCACGTCAGCATTTCATCCTTCATTGACATATGATTCTATTTTTCATTTAGAACAATGCTGATCAATAATCCTGCTTTTGTTTCTATAAACTTTATATTTAGCAAGATAATGTTTTTTTCTCTTGATCGATTCTCGTTTATTTGCATGTCGTCTATACTCTTTGTCTTTTAGATTTCTGACTAACTCACTCAATAGTTTGTGTGATGTCTTCAACAACATCTTCTGAACAAGTTCCACTTGACAAAGTCGAGATACTTGAGCAACGTCGTATTTTAATCAAACATAAAATGCGTCTGTGCTTAAGAGATGTTATGCTACTCAACGAGTACAATTTAATGAAGCCATTGATCGAAGCTCTTGAACGGAATTGTCAAGGTGACGAATTGGATGAACTCATTGCATTTTACATGGCTCGTTTGGAGCACAGGGATATTGAAGATGCAAAAATACAGGAAGAAATGGCACAAGAGGCAAGATTATACAGAGAAGCACAAGATGTCGACAATACAGAGAATAATAGCAATAGTCAAGGAATGGAGACTGATCATTGATTGAATAAAAGCAGTTACTCGAATTGAAATAAAATGAACTTTCATCTTCATTTGGTTTTGTTTTTTCTTTGAGTGCTCTTTTCGTTTGTTCTAGATTTCATTTGAATTTGAAAGTTTCGAGGGAACGATGTTTATAGGTTACATGAAATATCGATTCTACTGGCAATCTGATAGAGGCGAACTCACTAGATAATTCGTCGATTGGAAACCTAAACACTCGCTAACAAGAAATCAAAATCAACCATGTTGTTCCGGATAATATGCCACAAAAATCTAAGGACTGGCATAAGTACACACCTTAAGAACATTTTCTTCAACTATGTAAAGCTTTCCTCTTTATCTTTCTTTTAAACATTGCAAATAACCATACATTCCTTGATTTTAATCTTCGTATCACAATTTTTCTCTTATATCTAAATGCGTAGTATAGGACAAAGTTCATTTTCCTGCCATGTGCATAAATACCAACGGCTTTCTCTTTTCAGATTCTTATTCACAATTTTTCTTCCTCAACACATACCATCATCTACACAGTGAGTAAATCTTTCCTATCATGACACCACATTGTTTATTTATTGTTGCATTCATAGCACAAGATCTATCAAGAAAGAAACTCCTTCAAAAACTACAAGCCAAGACATGGATTCAATTGAAACTACTGAATCAGATGATCAAAGTTCAACAGATAATTATCAAGAAATGGGACAAGATAATCTTCAAACATCCAACTTGGCTACTCGTGATGAAATGTGTGCAGATCCATCAGAACCAAACAATGAACACAGTGAATCTGGTTTAAGTGCAAAAGTGAAAGGCAACATCATTCTGGGCAATACTCATGATTATGATTCGGAACCTGATACAGTATTTGCTGAACTATTGGATAATTGTTATTCAAGAGAAACGAATATAAGTTGGCACTTAACCATAGAAGAAAACGTCGAATGCATACGTCGGTATACTAAATTGATGGATAAATTAGCTTATCTCCAATTACAACATGATCAATGGCAACACTATCATCGCATTGGTGTAACCAAACATATATGGACTGGTCAAGTGTCAAAACAGTCAGCAGATAAGTTTGCAATTAATGAACGATTTGGTCATTCAAAACATGTTGTTGAACAAACATTGAACAAACTTAAGAAACACATAGCGAAAGCTAAACAGGCATGTGAACAGTTTGGTGAAGAGCATTTACCTAAAGAAGGATTTACCAAGGATAGTGGCACACAGTACACAGAATTTCACGATAATGTGGAAGAGTTTGTTCTTGAACATCAACAGTTATTGACTGATGAATTTCAATTCAAACGAGACATGCTCTTATTGGACGCAAAGGAACATGAATTATTTCAAAACTTTCTTAAAACAAATCCAACTGAAGAAGAAGTAAGTTTTGTTCTTGTTCATATGTATCTATTCTGATACTTTCATCTCCTTTTAGATGAATTCAGCTGCTAAAATCTGGTCGCTCACTAGTCTACAATTAAGCTATGCAAAAGACAATGCTAAACTACAATGTTGTCTTGTATCATCCAAATTTATCCCCACATTCGATCTACTTGATTCTACATTGAAGGATATAGAAGATTATATGAACTTTGATCCACAAGATGACGCAGTCAATTGTATGGATAGTGAAATCTTCTCACAGGAAAAAGATAGAATGAAACAATTAAGAAAGCAAACTATCTTTAATGGTATCAAAGAGAATCACAAATCCATCAATGAACATGCAAAAGAAATTGAAACAGAAAGAAAAAAATACTTACCCAAGCCATATATTCCTTTTTTTCAACAACCACCAGTTGATTCTGCTTTGAAAGCAATTGAAGATCGTTGCAAACACATGATCAAACGTGCTGACTTTATTATGAGCTATCACCAGGCTCATAGCTTTGCCACAACAAGTGAATTCAACAAAATATGAACACTGATGGCTATCACATAAACTTCTCATATTCCTATCATTTTTTTTTTCATATATGTATTCACTAATTAATTGAAAGATTTACTCACTGAGTAGATGATGGTATGTGTTGAGGAAGAAAAATTGTCAATAAGAATCTGAAAAGAGAAAGCCGTTGGTATTTATGCGCATGGCAGGAAAATGAACTTTGTCCTATACTACGCATTTAGATATAAGAGGAGAATTGTGATATAAAGACTAAGATCAAGGAATGTATGGTTATTTGCAATGTTTAAAAGAAAGATAAAGAGGAAAGCTTTACATAGTTGAAGAAAATATTCTTAAGATGTGCACTTATGCCAATCCCTAGATTTTTGTAGCATATTATCCGGAACAACATGGTTGATTTTGATTTCTTGTTA